AAGAAGAGGAGCATAAAGAGGAGCCATCATGGAAGGACAGGCTGCTTTACAGCATATACAACCGCCAAACAGAACAAGTGATACTGAGAAATCCTACCAACGGCTGGACAAAGCTAGACTGAAAGACAGCACAGAGGCACTAATCATGGCAACATCGGAACAAGATCTAAGCACAAGATCAATAGATAGAGACTAGATTCTACCACACCAGGCAAGGCCCTAGTGCAGGTTGTGCAGAGATGCCACTGAAATAATCTGGGACATAACAGCAAAGTGCAAGATGCTAGCAGGCAGGGCTTACATGGAATGCCATGACCAAGATACTGGCACAGTATACAGGACCATCTGTCCCAAGTATGGCCTGGAACTCCCAAGGTCAAAATGGGATATGTCCTCTAGGGTGGCTGATAATGACCGAGCTAAGATCCTGTGAGATTTCCAGATACAGATGGACAAGCTGGTGATGCCTAACCAAACTGACATAGTAGTGGTGGAGGAAGATAGTATAGCTACATCTATGACTATGACTAAGTGATTGCAACATCAGGAAGGATTAGAAGCTTAATAAGCCCCAAGGGCTGAGAGAGGAACTAGAGAAGATGCGGAGGGTGAAGGTAACAGTGGTTCCTGTGGAGATCGGGGTACTCGGGGCAGGCAGTGACCTCCAAACTGGGCAAGTAGCTACAGCAGGTCACAGGAACAACATCTGAGATCTCTATCCAGAAGAGCACAGTCCTAGGAACAGCAAAGATACTGTGTAGGACCCATAAGTTACCAGACCTCTGGTAGAGAACCAGATAAAATAGTCGGATGGCTCTGGGTTGATGAGGAATCCTAATGTTCAAACCATAAAAACATAAATCAATATATCTGATACTTATTCTGGATACTGTTACGTTGGTCTCCAAAAACAATGTGAGGAATCATTTTCTGTGTAATGCAAGACGGGGGGAGACTCGTCATGGCAGATCCAGTTACTGAGAGAATAACCGAGCTATCAGTAATTCAACAAGACTATAGCTGACCAAAAGCTGACAACTGTCAGAATGCCCATTTTGCACACTGGAGAAATTAAAACAACTAGAGGAATATATTCAGTTTTCTTCACTCACCACAAAATGGATTTGAATGCCACTCCAAACACCTCAAAACCATGTAGAGGTACGATTGTTTCATCCACAGACACCAACAATCTATAGTGTACTGTCTAAACAAAAAGCCTGGCCCACTAATAACAATCTATATATCAAGACAAAAAGCCTGGCCCACTAATAACAATTCATGATAATATCAAAGAAAACTCAAACAGTCCAACAACTCCCGTTAAACCCTCATTAAAGCACTCAGCAAATGGAGTTTGTCATGACCAGAGATGGGCAATAACGCGTTACTGTAATCAGATTACTTTTTTCAGTAACCAGTAAAGTCAGGGATTACTATTGCAAAAAAAAAAATTTGATTCCTGTTGCTTTCCCATAAGCAGGCTGCATTACTGAGTTGCTAAACCACGATTTTGTTTGTGAGTGTCTCATTACAATGACAATTATGATAATAAAATATATCTGTTAATTAAACTGTTTATACACAACACAGGACCTTCCTTGATGGCACTCCCTCAGCTTGGATGTAAATAGTTCTTGTTGTGTGTGCACATGTGTGTTTTAAAAGTTCATTCATGCATTTCCTTTCACTCTTTCAACAGAGGAGTAAAGGGCTAGAAGAACTGGGATACAGAAAAATGCCCCCACTCTTTCTTCTGCATTTTTTTTAAACTAATCTTAGTCAATTACCTTTTTGTGTACTTGCTTTTTATGTTGTATCCATTTTTAGTATCAGAAGAATAAGAAAAATTCCTGGTAGAAGCCTTTTGCAGAAGTGCTGTTTCCTAATAACGAAAAGAAAAGGTTGAAAATGAACTTTGGTGAAAGTGTGGTATTAGTCACCACACATTGCACCTTTAAGAGATAGAGATATTTTAACACTGACCTCTACAGCTGGCTATAATAACATAAACACAATCAAATTTTTTTTTTTGCAATAGTAATCCCTGACTTTACTGGTTACTGAAAAAAGTAATCTGATTACAGTAACGCGTTATTGCCCATCTCTGGTCATGACAAACTCCATTTGCTGAGTGCTTTAATGAGGGTTTAACGGGAGTTGTTGGACTGTTTGAGTTTTCTTTGATATTATCATGAATTGTTATTAGTGGGCCAGGCTTTTTGTTTAGACAGTACACTATAGATTGTTGGTGTCTGTGGATGAAACAATCGTACCTCTACATGGTTTTGAGGTGTTTGGAGTGGCATTCAAATCCATTTTGTGGTGAGTGAAGAAAACTGAATATATTCCTCTAGTTGTTTTAATTTCTCCAGTGTGCAAAATGGGCATTCTGACAGTTGTCAGCTTTTGGTCAGCTATAGTCTTGTTGAATTACTGATAGCTCGGTTATTCTCTCAGTAACTGGATCTGCCATGACGAGTCTCCCCCCGTCTTGCATTACACAGAAAATGATTCCTCACATTGTTTTTGGAGACCAACGTAACAGTATCCAGAATAAGTATCAGATATATTGATTTATGTTTTTATGGTTTGAACATTAGGATTCCTCATCAACCCAGAGCCATCCGACTATTTTATCTGGTTCTCTACCAGAGGTCTGGTAACTTATGGGTCCTACACAGTATCTTTGCTGTTCCTAGGACTGTGCTCTTCTGGATAGAGATCTCAGATGTTGTTCCTGTGACCTGCTGTAGCTACTTGCCCAGTTTGGAGGTCACTGCCTGCCCCGAGTACCCCGATCTCCACAGGAACCACTGTTACCTTCACCCTCCGCATCTTCTCTAGTTCCTCTCTCAGCCCTTGGGGCTTATTAAGCTTCTAATCCTTCCTGATGTTGCAATCACTTAGTCATAGTCATAGATGTAGCTATACTATCTTCCTCCACCACTACTATGTCAGTTTGGTTAGGCATCACCAGCTTGTCCATCTGTATCTGGAAATCTCACAGGATCTTAGCTCGGTCATTATCAGCCACCCTAGAGGACATATCCCATTTTGACCTTGGGAGTTCCAGGCCATACTTGGGACAGATGGTCCTGTATACTGTGCCAGTATCTTGGTCATGGCATTCCATGTAAGCCCTGCCTGCTAGCATCTTGCACTTTGCTGTTATGTCCCAGATTATTTCAGTGGCATCTCTGCACAACCTGCACTAGGGCCTTGCCTGGTGTGGTAGAATCTAGTCTCTATCTATTGATCTTGTGCTTAGATCTTGTTCCGATGTTGCCATGATTAGTGCCTCTGTGCTGTCTTTCAGTCTAGCTTTGTCCAGCCGTTGGTAGGATTTCTCAGTATCACTTGTTCTGTTTGGCGGTTGTATATGCTGTAAAGCAGCCTGTCCTTCCATGATGGCTCCTCTTTATGCTCCTCTTCTTTCTTGGGTTTCTGCTGCCTGAGCTATTCTCTAAGCACATGATCAGTTGTGGCCATCTTGCTGATGTTGGAACACTGAGAAACTAGTTATTTTACCGTTAGTTTACATATTTGATGTCAAAGAATCCATAGGTCCCACATACTTTTCGTGTAACCCCTTCTGCAGGGATTACTCGTGTAGCATTCCAGTAGCTCCCTATTCTCATTCCTTTTCCACTTATGCCTTCTTGTTCCAGTAGCCCACTTCTCATCAGTGTGTCCTGGTTCCTCAATACTTGACACAGACCTTGTTAATCCAAGCAACGTCCAAGCAATTAAAATCTTTCTTTTTTACCAGAGGTTTATTATAAATCACTGTTCTTTATATTTTTGTATTCAACGTGCCCTTGCAAATGAGATGCCACATTCTCTGTTTGCGTTTGCTTGATGTATTCTAGTCAACACGTGTTGCATGTATGTAGCTTAACGGTCACCACAACTTTTATCCGTGGTGGAATTATGTTTGAATTGCCACAAAATACAGAATGAAGAATTTGAAAACCTCCCACAAAGTGGGTTTTTGCTAGCACTTTAACAGTGACTTTAAGCTTATATTTGTTTTGTTTTTCATTCATACCGCCACCACCTCATATTAACCCTTTAGAGCCGGTCGGAGCGGGCACGCTCTGTTTTACGTAACTATTTTTAAATCCCGGTAGCTCTGCAACCACGTAAGCTAGCGCAATAATTTTTTTTGCATATGAAACCGGAGGAGTTGTACTTACATCTTATGCCATCAGCTTGTCCTAGGTCACGGTTTCCTTCCACATAAAGCTTTGCAAAAACTGCATAAAAAGCGCTTGCAGGAACAAAAACATAATATTCCAGAAACACGCTTTGCCGATCCGATCAGCTGTTCGTAACACTTCCACATTGAAACAGACGTCAGCGCGAACTATCGCATGTCCGCCATTTCCTGCCCGAAACCGGAAGTGACGTCATTTTCGCGGAAATGTAGTTTTTTTACTATCAGGCCTCATGAGCCTATACTGGTGTTTTTAAAAGTTATGTTTGACTTTATGACTTTCTGAATAGTTTCTGGGATGCTTAGGACTCATAATTGCACTGCTGGAAATAGTTTATTTTGATG